GCCAAGTGCAGTGCAAAAACCACCCCCCTCCCAGCACCGTCCCCCACTCCAATTGGTCCCCTCCCCTCCCCCCTCAAAAAAGAAAGATTTGCGCCCAAGCTGTCTCGTGCAGAAGCTGTGCTTTTTTGATTCTGTGCATTATGGGAAAGTGAACCTCCAGAACAAGCAACATTGCTACCATAAAATAGAAAATCATGGGCATTACCCCACGGTCATGGTCACGGTCCTCCCGTTATTCATCGATTTGCTCAAGCGGGCCCAGTAACGGCTCCATTTTGAGACTTGTTGTTACTGTGTTGAATACATCATATTGAATACATCACGGGGAGCTTGCCAGGCTTTGCCGTGAGGGCGAGATACTCTAGGCAGCTTGCCGGGCTCTCCGAGAGGGGCAGAGGACTCAAACCCGGCTCGGCCAGGCTGGCTGCGTGCAAGGCAAACGCCCTACTGCTGTGCTATCACTCCAGCCCATACCATCCTGAACCCGTCCGATCTCGTCTGATCTCGGAAGCTAAGCAGGGTCGGGCCTGGTTAGTACTTGGATGGGCATTACCCCCAACCTACTAAATCAGCATTCTGGGGTGGGGGAGTACACCTGAAATTTGGCAAGCATTCCAGAAGCTTCTGAGGCAAAGTTGAAGCTGGAGAATATAGATTCACTGTTTGTTAACTCTGAGACTGATGGGGAATGGTCACATCTGAATTTACACAGGGATGTGAACTGAGCTTTCGCGACTCAGAGAACAGATCTCAAGCAATAAGGGAGGCTGCTGACAAGGCCTGGCCCTCATTTCTACAATGGTTAAGGCTCTTTATCTAGTGCAAATAAGTACCTCGGGCCTATCAGAGCTGCATTTTTCTACAGACTCACAGACACAGACACAGACACAGACACACACACACACACACACACACACACACACTGCTGAAAGAAAAGGCCGTTCTTCCCATACTGATCAGAAAGAATTACTTAGCCAACAAGAGACACTATTTATATTTTCATGTCAAGCAGCAATTCTTGAAAAACAGGAAACCACATATCAACACAGTGTACTGTAGTGAAAGGGTACCGGGCCTTGAGTCACAGGCAAGTCACTGAACTTCAACTCCACTTCCTGGCTTGAACTGGAACATGTGCCCCAACTGCAGAGTCACACTTGGACCTGAGCGGCCACCGGGGGCAGAGGGCCTTTGTGCCGGGAGAACGAGTGCTCTGCCCGACAGACTCTTGACTGGGGGGCCTGGGGGGCTGCAGCCCCTCACCCCTGATGCTCAGAGGACTCTCAGTGCTGAGAAGCAGCCCGTTAGGTGGCAGACACCCGGAACGAAGCTGAAGGAGTCTGTTAATGATGTAACCGAATCCTGCAGGCACCACTTGTCACAACCAGCTCGGTCTTTTAATAGGAAAAAGCCACTTGAACAAGAAAGCCTTAGTCATGTTTAAAATGGGCCAGATAATTTAAGAAAACCGGCGGATTTTTTTTGCCCCCCTCGTCCCGTCGCTCTCCCCCCCCCCCCCCCCCCCCCCGGAGAACACGACTCAAGGAGTTCTGACCTAAAGCTTCAGAAAGAAACTGCAATTAGCAACCATGATTCTCAAGGTTCCACGTCTTGGGGAACCGACAGTACACATACAGAAAGGCAGAAAGCAAAAAGACTTGCTACAAGGAACCTCGCGTCTCACACTCACGTCTGAACTGTGGTAGAATTTTCGGAAAGGAACTCAGAGTTTTTCAGTCTATTTTATTGGGACCCATCGGGGCTCGGAGCTTAGCTCAGGAAGCCGGTGACCAGTGACCATGGAAATTGGAAATTGCGGCCCCTGGCGTGCCGAGCACCGCGCCAGCCCTTGAAACCACCTCCCCGGCCCCTGCACAGTCTCTGCAATCAGAGATTCAACAGATATTAAATAAGCTTATACTGTAGATTTTTTTTTTAAAAGATACTGCTGGAAAACCACTGCCAGTTAAATACCCTCTGGGAACAAAAACTGAATTCATTTTATTGTTTAATTGAATAACTATAATTTAATGAGCATATATTTACAAAATAAATCATATGTTTATGGACTAAATAACACAGCAGTGCATTTCTGGAAAATGCAGTTCCTTAATCTGTACTTTCTCAAACACACTTACTCAGGCTTCTGAAAAATGACCGGACAGGCACTCGGGAGGTTCCCAGACATATTTGGCCTGCTGCCCCCTTTACTGGGAAAGCAACCCTGAGCACACCCCCTGAAAATCTCCCTTCCTGAACCAAACAGCGTACCCCCAGTTGCACCTGAGGTGATGAGCACACACTCTGGAAGAGCCAGTGCGTCAGGCGGTAGCGCTGACTTGGACACTGAAAGGCTGGAATGGAAGGGAAGGATCCCAACTATGGCATCACGCCTTAAGGGACAGTTACGTCCTCAGGGTGTCAAGTCCCTCTGTGTGTCCTGCATGAATCCACACATGAACTAACTTCCCCCTTGGGACTGGGGCCGGTTCCTTGCAGGTCTGAGGCCCTGAGTTTGATTCCCAGCCCTACATGCAGAGCTCAATCCCTGCAGCACTGGGTTCCTGGAACCATAGAAGAATTGTGTACACGCACAGCAGCCAAATATATGCCTTCCCGCATGCCCAAGTGTGCAGTGCTCCTAGGCAGTTAAAGAAGCACTGAAACAACACCCGCAACAATATATATATACTCTGTATCGATGGGTGGGCTGGGGCTTAGGACCACACAGCAATGCAATGCTGGAGGACGGACCACAACCAGCTCAGTGTTCCCAGGACCCTTGTGGTCTCTGGGATCAAACCTGGGACTCCTACAAGTGAGACATGCATGCCAGTCTGTTGGATATATGTGGAATGCACACAGATTACGTCCCATACATTTTTTTTTAATCGAATCACCATGAGATGCAGTTACATAGGTTTCCTGTTTGAGTTTCAGTCCTACCATGACCAAACACCCATCCCTCCACCAGTGCACATTCTCCACCACCAATGTCCCCAGTATCCCCCCCCGCCCCCCACTCCCGTTCCAACCTGCCCCCTCCTCTATGGCAGACAATTTTCCCCATTCTTTCTCCTTTTGATGGCCATATATCTTAATCAGACAGCATTAATGCAAAACCCAGTGAGCGAGTTTCTTAGTCAGAGAATTGTTTTTGGGCTAGAGAGAAAGCCCAAGGTAAGCGCAAAGTGAGCACATACTTTGCATGGAGAAGGTCCAGGTTCTATCCCTAGCACTGCATGATCCCCCAGGCACCTCCAGGAGCAGCCCGAAAGCATGAGCTGGGAGCAGCCCCTGAGCACTACTGGGTGTCAAGGAGAAAATAAGGCACCACCAGTTCACCCAACTCCTTGCAAAATTCAGTTAAACCAGAGAGGAAGCAGGAGCAGGAACGCCAGTGTAACCCAATGCGGTGTAGGCAGATCTGGCCTTAACACCTCTAGAGAAACAGTGACTTCTGGTGGCAAAAAAAAAAAAAAATTTTAAAAAAATCACGCATATTCCACATGTCTTGTAGAAGGTAGGTATTTCAAACCGCCTGACTTGAATCCTTTCCACAAAGTCTCCCCCTCAGGATAAGCTTTGCATTCTCATTTTACATACTACGATGCCTCAAAATCCTATTTTTGCAACTTTGACAAGCTAATCTGCCAAATGCCAAAGCCCACCATGGAAATCCGATTGCTACAGTGGATAAGATGCTTAGTTTTGCTGCGGAAGAGGCTCTTTCTTTTCTTCCTTCAAGTGGAGAGCAGAGAGCTCCTGAGTCCATGCCCAGATCTAGCACCCTGGTTGGGAACATTCAGAAACAGGGCTGACCGGGACAGTCCCCTCACACCTAAACTCGTCTTCTGAAAAATCTAAGGTCCTCCACAGCTAACTTTGCCTTCAGGGGATCAAATCTCTCCCAAACCACATCCTCTCCCAAATTCGCTGAATTCAAACTCAGCTTTCTACTTTTGCAAATGATTTCTTGTTTCAGGGCTGCACCTGGTGGGCCTCACTCCTGGCCCTTGCAGCCTCCCCTGGTGGAACTGGACCTCCGGGACCCGGCACGTGCTGCTGGCTAAATCCCTGTTATCTGTCCTGGGCAGGAGATAGCTCCGGGCTGGGAGCAGGTTTTGCAAGCAGGAAGCCCCGGCCAGAGGGATCCCCACCCCGCCCTCCGCCAGGGCTGGCAGGGAGCCGCTGAGCAGCGCTGGGTGTGGACCTCACACCCCCCACCCCCTTCTTATCTATTCTCTGGCTCTTTCCTAGTGGTCCCTCCTTCTGGGGCTCACAGCCTGGGGTTCGAACCACTCCTTTTCGGGGCACTTACCTTCAACGAGAACAAAATCTCCCCAAGCCGACAGCACTTTGCGACCGCAGCAAACTCATTTCGGATTCACCTCCAGAACATTCGCCCCAAAACACCCTTCCCCGAGTCACAACGAAAAGGCAAGAGCCAACCGCAGGGGACCGGGAAGCACACACTGACCCGGCGCCCGGGGCTCAGGCCCAAGAAGAGGGCTGCGCTCGGGTGCAAAGGTTGCTGACCCCCAGGCCGCACCGGACAGCACCGCAGCCCCGTGCCCAGGCCTACCCCGACGACAGCCGGCACAAACCAGCTCGGGACACACAGGCCCCGCACACACTCGACCTCACACTCACGAGGTCCCGCGCACACCTGGCCCCGCACGTACGCGACTCCGCACACACATGACCCCGCACCCCTGACCCTGCACCCACGTGACCCCGCACCCATGAGCCCGCACACGCATGACCCCGCACCCGTGACCCTGCACCCGCATGACCCCGCACCCATGATCCCGCACACACATGACCCCGCACCCGTGACCCCGCACACAGCGGCCCGGGCCGCGGCCGTGCACGCGACTCCCGGAGGGTGCACGGGTCGGAGTCGGAGCAGCCTGGGGGGAGCAGGCTGGCGGCGCCGGGCAGGGTCGGGCCGGGCAGGGCCGGGCAGGGCCGGGCAGGGCACGGGCCACCCCCCTCACCTTCCAGATCCGCCCGGGACCTGACGCGGTGCAAGGGCGCGGGTCTCAGGGCTCCGCCGGACTCGCGACGGGCTCGGCTCCCCGAGGCGCAGGGCGGGGCGCGCGGCGCCCGCTAGCGAGCACGACCGGCCGCGTCCGCCCGCCGACTCGCCGCGCCGGCGCCCGCCGCTCCGCACGGCCGGACCCAGGCCGCGCCCCCGCAGGCCCGCCCCGCCCCTCCCGAGCCGATCCCCTGCCTGGCCCCGCCCCAATTCCTGCCCAGCCCCGCCCCGCCCGAGCCTAGCCCCTGCCTAGCCCCGCCCATCCCCTGCCTAGCCCCGCCCCGCCCAGCCTATCCCCTGCCTAGCCCCGCCCCGCCTAGCCTATCCCCTGCCTAGCCCCGCCCCACCTACCCTATCCCCTGCCTAGCCCCGCCCTGCCTAGCCTATCCCCTGCCTAGCCCCGCCCTGCCTAGCCTATCCCCTGCCTAGCCCCGCCCCGCCTAGCCTATCCCCTGCCTAGCCCCGCCCCGCCCGAGCCTATTCCCATCTCACACCGCCCCAGTCCGAGCCTATCCCCTGCCTAGCCCCGCCCCAGCGCGAGCCTTCCCCCCGCTTAGCCCCGCCCTCCCCGCGCCCAGCTCCTGCTCAGCCCTGGCCCGCCCAAGTCTATCTCCTACTCAGCCCCGCCCCGCCCCGCCCGAGTCTATCCCCTGCTTAGCCCCGCCCCATCAGCCTCATCGCCCCGCCCTGCCCGCCGTTCCGGCTCCGCCCCTCGCTCGTCGCCCCGCCCCGCCGCCGTTCAGCTCTCTCCTTCCCTCCCAGACCGCTGCTCGGGCTCCCCGCCTCCCTCTCCACCCCGCCTGGGCCGCGGTTCTGGCTCCGCCCCTCTCCCTTTGCCCCTCCCCGACCGCTGTTCCGGCTTCATTCCTCTCTCTTAGCCCCGCCCATACCGCTGTGCCGGCTCCGCCCCTCTGCCTTTGCCCCGCCCAGACATCTCTTCCGGCTCTGCCCTTCCCTCTCCGTCCTCCCAGACTGCCGTTCTGGCCCCGCCCCTCCCTCCGCCCCGCCCAGACCCCCGCGCTGGCCCCGCCCCTCCCTCTTCGCCCCGCCCCTCCCAGTCCCTGCCGGGACCGGCCGGGTCCTAGGCGGGTTCCCAGCCTCTGCTTGGCATCCCGCGGCCCAGGCTGCTGGAGGAGGGTCTCAGGGGAGCCGGGGGAGCACTGGGGCGCCGGTCCGAGCGGGAGCAGCTCCGGTCCGGTGCTGGCCAGGTGTCGGCGAACTCCTGCAGCGCGGGTAGCGGGGACGCGGGCCCCGTGCCCTTGGAGGGAGAGAGAAGACAGGGACCCCCGCAGCCGCCGGCGGAGACCCCGACCCCCACCCTGATCCCCGAGCGCTGGGCCCCAGGACGCACACGCAGTGGAAGGAGGAGACCCCCCCCAAGGGAGCGATTCCCGCACGGCCCTCCTCCCAGCGCGGGTCTGGGCCGGTCCTCCAGCAGCCGTCTAGGAGACCCGGGAATGTGCCCCGTGGCCCCTCACGCGGGAGCACTGCTCGCCGGGCTTGAAGTTCTTGCTCCGCATCAGCCCCTCTGAACAGTAATCTTACTTGGTTTGGGTTTGGGGACCATATCCCGGGATGCTCAAGACTTACTCCTGCCCCTGTGCTCAGGGGTCACTCCTGGGGGGATCACTGCACTCATGCAGTGCGGGAGATACAACCAGCGTCCCCCACATGTGAGGTACATGCAAATGCTCTCTGTCTGTCTGCCTGTCTGTCTGTCTCTCTCTCTCTCTCCTCTCTCTCTCTCTCTCTCTGCTCTCTCTCTCTCTCTGGGCCCCTAGTCAGCGGGTAGGGCGTTTGCCTTGCACTCCGCCGAGCCGTGTTCGATCCCGGCATCCCATATGGTCCCCCGCCAGGAGTAACCCCTGAGCATCACCGAGTGTGACCCAAATAAATAAATAAACAAAGCAAATAAATAAATAAATGAATAAATAAAACATTTAGTGAGAGCCATAGGGATAACAAAGAAGGTGAGGCACTTGCTTTTTGTGTGGGTCTTCAGTTTCCCCACATCCCACGATCTCCCGTTCAACCCCAGCATCCCTGGAAGCTACCTGAGCACAGAGCTAGGTGTAGCCTCCCAACACCACCGCACCCCACTTTAAAAAAAAAAGTCAATGAGGTGTTTTCTTAGGAAAACACCTAAGGAAGATGGCCAAGTTGTTAATACTGCCTTCCACGCCCAGTACCTGCAACTATTGCACGTGCCCTGATGCCAGCTGTTACTACAGATTTCTGCTATGAACAACCCAGGGAAAGCCTCGTCATATGCACAGGATCCTTATCAGGAAAGACAAGAATGGAGGGGACCAGTGCTGCCCCGGGTGTGGGGGTGCAGGCAAGGGGTTCCCCTTCACTCCTGGTGAAGCCCTCACAGAAAATGGTATGGAGATTCCTCGAAAAAGTAGGGCTAGAATGTCCCTCTGACCCCGCGGTTCCTCTCCTGGAACTCTGAGTCATCAGTCTGCATCCTAGCGCCTGGTGACACGATTCACACAGTCCAGGTCTGGGGTCACCCTGGTCATCCGAAGAGTGCGAAAAGAAGAGTGTATCAGCTACGGGGAAAGATGGAACCGGACCTCTCACTGTGACCTGGATGGAGCTGGAAGGGGTAGTGCTAAGGGAAGTGAGTCAGAGGAAGAAGACAGTCACTGGGTGGTCTTGTGCATATGCGAAGTGTAAAGAACAGAGGAGGGACCAGACAGTCCCCAGAAGAAACAGTTGGAGATAGAACCACAGAGATGGGGAGGGAATGGGTGTAGGATGACACTGTTTTGTCCTTCCTCAGGTAGCTTAGGGTCACACCCATCCCAGGACACTGAACTTGTATTGTAAGCAATGTCCTTTCTGTATGGACACAGGAAGACAGTTAATATTGTGCTTTGTAACTTGGAAGTTGATTGACTCCGAATAATATTTACTCCTGGGCATCTGCTTTCTTGACTCAGTTGCCCTTAGTTCCTAGCACCCCCGAAGCAGGGTCCCAATGAGGGACTGAATGGACCCAGGGCAAGCTGTGAGCTACCCTGGCATCGAAATGGGCCAGGCCAAAGTGCCATGATACTCAACTATAAGTTGAGGGCATGATCATGGACAAATGCTGTCATGATCCAAAGTAAGTAACTGGGGCTAGGAAGACTAACCTGGCCTGAGCTCTGCGGAATGTATAATGAGATGTTTGTATCTCTTACTGTGCTCACACAGAATGACATTGCTAGAAATATTAGAAGTAGATTTACTACAACTATTGAAGTAGATTACTAGCTGAGGAAAGAACACAGCATTTTAGGATCCCACCCTTGAGCGGATCTCCTAGATCTCCTAGTAATCTGGAGTAATCTATTTATTTTTTCACTTTTTTTGGGGGGGGAGTTACACCCAGTGATGCACAGGGGTTACTCCTGGTTCATGCAATCAGGAATTACTCCTGGCGGTGCTCAGGGGACCATATGGGATGCTGGGAATCGAACCTGGGTCGGGCCACGTGCAAGGCAAATGCCCTACCCGCTGTGCTATCACTCCAGCCCCTGGAGTAATCTCTTTAGATGAGATTTTATCCTTGAGTTAATCTCCTGGAGGAGTGCTCTTACCTCTCATTGTTGATTTGTCAATATTCAACCCACCTTTGTGTCACCACCTTACAGATTTCTGCTGTGAACAACCCTATAGATTGCTATATAACTAAGACTGTAAGCTCGGAGAGCAGAGTCAGAAGTGAGAGAGCTCGGAGATCCAGAGTCCAGAGTCAAGAGCCAGAAGGAGAAGGGGTTCCAGATCGGGGCCCAGGAGAGAAGGAGGCGGAGGAGAGACAGGAGTGAAGAGGACTGGAATAAACTACAATTGATATCGACCAGCCTGGCCCTCGTCTCTTCCTTTGTCTGCCCTTGGCCGAGAGCCGTCCTGATCCAGGCCACACAAAGCAGCTCAGGAGCACCGAATGCAGGCAGTGAGACAGTGCCATCCAGTGAGCCTGCGAACACACAACCTTTGCCATGTTAAGATTTTACAAGTGGGGATCTTGGGGACTGGTGGGTTACTGACGCTCTCGGTGGGGTGAGAAGTAGCACTCGGAGTATAAAACACTGACCAGGAAACCAGTCCAGCTGTCACTACAGATCCCAACTATCAAGTATAAATAGCACAGCGGGTAGGGCGTCTGCCTTGCACGCAGCCAACATGGCCGACCCGAGTTCGATTCCTCCGCCCCTCTCGGAGAGCCCGGCAAGCTACCGAGAGTATTCGATATGCCAGACACAGTAACAACAAAGTCTCCAATGGAGACGTTACTGGGCCTGCTCGAGCAAATCGACGATCAACGGGAGGGCCTTTACCTTTTACCTTTACCACCAAATACATTTTATTTTTCAAAAGAGAGAGCACATAAAATGCTCACATGGTTTGGGTTTTTTTTAAGGTATTTCTTATTTATTTGGAGGTCACACCCAACTGTGCTGGGGGAGGGTCAAACTGATGGTGCAGTGAGTGGGGCATTTGCTTGGCACGCAGCTGCTTCAGGTTCGATCCCCGAGACCCTATATGACCTCCTGAGCCTACCAGAAGTGATCCCTGAGCTCCAGTGCAATGCCAGATGTGACCTCCCCACCAAACTGTGCTGAGGACCCATTCTGGATGCATTTCTTTGGCAGGGGACTCACTAAGCATACTCAGGGGTCAGGTGTATTGGGGGTCCAACTCTTGGTTCCTACACACACAGCATATACCCTTCAACTCTTTGAACCATGTCCCCCAATCCCATTTCTCCCAATATCTTTTATTTTTGGTGCTGGGGAGATTTGGACCACGCTGAGCAGTGCTCAGGGAGTATTCCTCATTCAGGGGATCGTGCCAGGATTGTTCCAGGGTACAGTTGAGGCAGCCACAGGCAAAGTGCCCCTCAGACCCCATCCCGCTAATCTTAATGGTTCAAAATGGGTGTTGGCTGAAGAGATGTTAAGTAAAGCATTTCTCTTGTGTGCAGGCAACCTGGGTTCAACCCCTGGCACCACGTAGGATCCCTTGAGTATCCGGAGTGATCCCTGA